TCCTAGGTATAAATGTTGTTCCAAATCAGGACAAAGATATAAAATTATATTATCTTTCTTTTCTTTATACTTTATGAATAGACTAGCTTGCTGCCCGCTACTTCGTTAGCGATAAATTTTTGTATTTAATTGAATTAAAATTAGGCCCTATACTACGTGGTAGCCAGTGTTCTAATAACGAAAATCTTATTCTCGGGTCTTTTTGGTACCATAAACCTTCCGTGGCAAATCGAGTTTTCTAAAACCATTCACAAACAAATTTATATGTATTTTTTACAGTATATTCTATTATTTAGATACTAAATTTGAAAGAGGGATTAACCGACCGCCCCCCTACCCTTGCTTTTTCTCCTTGTAAAACAATGATACTTGAAACTTTCCGATTATGTATTAAAAAAAGATAAAATTTTGTTTAGATTAAATATCGAAAACTTCAAAGCATTTGCAGCGGAATTTTTTTAACGCTGGGAAAAAATAATATACTTTTCGACGTATTATTTTATATGCTATGTTGAATTTATAGGCCCCATTTGAAATTTTCAAAAATTTTATAAAAGTTGTTACTTTAATATATACATTTGTAAATAATTCTTCCAAATTTTTATTGTAAATGTCAAAACACTCTCAATTTTTATACCCTCCATCAGTGGGTATCAGTGGGTATACAACAAAGTATATGTATAAATATCCGGTTCTTATGAAATTCTGAGTCGATTTCGCTATGTCCGTCTGTATGTCTGCCTAAAACACGCTCACGGTAAAGCTAAGCAAAAGAAATCAACCAAACTCACCGAAAATATTCACTGTTGTCCTAAGCAGTTTGACATTGCAAATCAGCAAAAATGGTTTACAACTCGAAAAAATAACCGTTTTTTTCCTAAATCTTAAAAAGTGTCAGAAACTACAAAAATAATTCGATGAATTTTGTCACGTGTTATTTTTTCGCCCAGTGATCTATTATGTTCAAATCATACAAAGGTACGTATTTCCGGAAATGGATTTATCGTTTAAAATTTCGTTATCACCACATCCGAAAATTATCATCCATCTCCGAAAATTACGTAAACGAACACATTTAGAGAAAAGAGATATCGCTATAAAATTCGATATGAGTATAAGTACATATTTTTGTATATACAAATCATTCCGCAAAAATTTTTTTGGATCAGGTCATAATTGGTCATAGCTCCCATAAAAGACCATCGTTCGAAAATTATTACTTAAGTGAATATAATTCATTAACGACATTGAGGTAAAATTCGACAGTAATCTATCTATATAAATAAAAATCAATTGTCGTTCGTTGGTAATTGCATCAGTTGAGAACGGCTAAACCGATTTGGACAATTTTTTTACTGAAATGTTTGTCATAGTCCAACTTAGGTTTTTACGGAAAGAAAAATTGACAACGCCCACTTTTACGCACACTTTTTTCGATTTATCTAAAATCGGAAAACGGCTGCACCGATTTGGATAATTTTTTATTTAGTAGTAATCTAATTTAAGTTTTTACTGAAAGAAAAATTTACCACGCCCACTTTTTTCGATTTATCTAAAATCGGAAAACGGCTGCACCGATTTGGCTAAATTTTTTAAAACATGTTCGTAGTAATCAAATTTAAAGTTTTACTGAAAGAATAATTGACCACGCCCACTTTTACGCTCACTTTTTTCGATTTATCTAAAATCACAAATCGAACATAAACATTTTTTTTAATTTGGACAGGACAACGTCTGTCGGGCCAGCTAGTATGTAATGAATGTCGTAATTTTAAGCATATTCAAAAATAGAAATTTGTATATTATTTTGTTTTTATATGACTCCTATACAGTAAAAGTCGTTTTGCAGATCAGATATACTCTAACAAAAATTTAAATTATTTTTCACGCGATAAGCTCACAATTGTGGAATTTTTGAGACCCATTTCGAAAACATTGCAGAATTTTCTTGAAACATATTGTACTGAGATCAAGATTTTTAATCGCTAGTAGGGCCTTTTAAAAAATAATTTTTAATGCTAAATTTGCCTTTTTACTTATCATTAGCCTCGAAATGTATGGTTTAGCTTCTGGTTTTTTCTAGCCTTTTTTCCGCATCCTTATTTAGCTTTAGAAAGTCTAAAATTTGTATTATACATTTGAGAGTTTATAATAAGAACATTTAGAAAAACTTTCAGATTTTAAAACTTTAATAGTTTTTGTAACAAAAGGATAATAAATAAGGACATTTTGATTGTAATTATAGTAAATGTTATGAACTTTATGTATTTTACAACTTTAAACTGATTTACGGCAAGTGTTTCTGTTATCAGATAAATAAATTTTAGATTCTTATGAACAAAAAAGCTCTAAATTTAGCGTCCATTTATAGGAAGTATAGTGGTGTGTGACCAACATATTATACTCTACAGCAATTATAAGTATAATTTAACAAATATTTTATTTTTTTATATTCTCCACCACCATCAGTGGTGATAGAGGGTATATATAAGTTTGTCGTTCCGTGTGTAACACCAAGAAATATTCACCTAAGACCCAACAAAGTATATATATTCTGGGTCCTTGTGAAATTCTGAGTAGATTTAGTTATGTCCGTCTGTCTGTCTGAGTAAAACACGCTCACGTTAAAACTAAGCAAAGGAAATCAACCAAATTCATCGAAAATATTTATTATTGTCCTAAGCAGTTTGATATTGAAAATCAGCAAATTCAGTTCACAAAGTAAAAAGTTATGAATAAAAATTTTAGACTACCTCGAAAAAAAATTTTTCCTCCTTTCTAAAGTAGTTTTCTCAGAAACTACCAATGATATGTCGATGAATTTTGCCACGCATTATTTTTTTCTGCCGGAGATCAATTATGTTCAAAGTCATAACAATCGATTCAAAATTTTCCATAGCCCCATACAAAGGTACATGTACCCGGAAATTAATTTATCGTGAATAACTCCCCCAATTATATCGATATCAACAAACAATTTTGTATGTATAATATAAACAGGAATCATAATGCCAACGAAGATCTGTATCGGTCCACAATTGGTCATAGGTGCCATATAGTGTTCACTCCCGAAACTCACTTAAACGCACTTATTTCATTGACAAAAAAAGCTATAGTGATAAAATTCGACATGAATGTGTTTTCTGTATATACAAATCACTGTGCGAAATTTTTTCTGGATCGGCCCATAATTGGTCATATATCCCATATAAGGTCCACTTCCGAAAATTACTTAAAAGCTCATTTTTCATTTATGAATAAAGCTATCGGTATAAAATTCGAAACGAATATGTCTTGTGTATTTATAAATCATTCCGCGAAATTTCCGTATCAGGCCACAATTGGTCATAACTCCCATATAACGTCCACTTCCGAAAATCACTTAAAAGCACATATTTCATTGATGAATTAAGCTATCGGGATAAAATTCAACATGAAAATGTTTTGTGTATTTATAAATCATTCCGCGAAAGTTTTTCCGGATCGGTCCATAATTGGTCATAGCTCCCATTTAAGGACCACTTCCGAAAATCACTGAAACGCATTGATAAATAAAGCTATCAAATTCAACTTGAATATGTTTTGTGTACATATAAGTCATTTTGCAAACTTTTTTCTGAATCAGTACATAATTGGTCATAACTCCCATATAAGGACCATTTCCGAAAATTACTTAAACGCACAATTTCATTGACAATCAAAGTTATCGGGATAAAATTCGTCATGAATGTGTTCTTTGAATATATAAATCATTATACGGATTTTTTTCTGGATCGGACCATAATTGGCCATATCTCCCATATAAGGTTCACTTCTGAAAATCACTTAATACCACATGAGTATGTTCTGTGTATAGATAAATTATTCACCTAAATAATAGATCATAGCACCCGTAAAAGGAAAATATCCGAAAATCACTTAATATAAATTTTTTTTGACCTATTCAAAATTAATTTCATGTATGCACAAAGAAATTACTAAATGTCTATAATTAGATATTTAAATGGGCTTTAATAAAAGTAGTTTGCTGGTGAAGGGTATTTAAGATTCGTCATGGCCGAATATAGCACTCTAACTTGTTTTTTTAAAGTACCAATTTAAGACACCGTTTTTATCCCTTCATTACCCAAACTTTTAAAAAGTAACGAAAGTATTTCTAACATCCTTCGATCAGAATAAATTACATTAAAAGTCTTATTTGTATGGTCATTTGTTTAGAAGATTACAGGCTAAGAAAAGGTCTTACACGGACAGTTTTTACCCTTTTAGCTCTATAAAATCCCGATTTTTGAAAAAGTACCAGACACCTATCAATTATTTTTTTTGTATAATAGATGATATATTTGGAATTTTATTTATATCTCTGCTTCTGTAGAAGATATAAAGGTTACCATTTTTACCCATTTCATTCCCTAAACGTTCGACTTTTCAAAAATCCCTTCTTAGTGGATCTATACAATGTCAAAGGAACACAGTATCCAAATATCATGAATCAAGCTTTAGCAGTTTGGGCTGGGCGATGATGAATCAGTCAGTCAATCAGTCACACCCCTGCCAGCAAATTTGAGTTTAATTTTGGATAAATGAACTAAATTTACACTAGTTAGGCTCAACTTCATGTTTCTCAGTGCTAAATAAAAATATTTACAAAAATAAAATACATTATTTTGTAATTTTTATCCCATTTTTGTAAAATTTAAGTTGGATCTAATATACCAAATAGAAACGTAAATGATAATAATTAGATAGAATAAAAATGTATAAAAAGAACACTTTTTAATACACTAACAAGATAATTTAAGGCAGAATTATTTTTGCTCTCAAAATTTAAAAGAAAAAGTGTTTGTATATTTCAGTAAATATATTAAGTTTATAGTGATCTGTTGTGTGAATAGTAACATTTGTGAAATTTTGTAATGATTTTATTTAAAATTTAATAAATAAAAAATAAATTGAAATAACTTGAGCAAACTTCTATAGATTGGAAGAGCGGGGGGAAAACAAGTGGATCAATCTAAAAGAAGTTTGAATTAATTATAATTACTCTCGTCCGAGTAATTATAATTATATGCGTGCCGTAAAAAAAAGAAAAGAGAAATAAGCGGGGATTAATAAAATATTTCTTTTCCTTTTAATAAGAGAGTAAGGGTTTTGGGGAATGAGGAAACTCACCTTTTGTTCTGCCGGGCCAAATCAAAGTAAATGAAGTGGAGTTGGTTTTTTTTTGTATTTTATTTTATTTTATTTTGTTCACAGCACTGAGAGATTAAAGAGCGGGAGAGATATTTTAATGTTTTCACAACGACTGATGAATTACAAGTGAAGTTTTATTTTCGCGATTACAATAAAGGAAGCTTAAGATTTATACAAAATGGCAATTCAGCTAATAATTACAACAATTTGACAATTCATTTTTCGTACTAAAAAGGGTTTACTTAACAATGATATATTTATAATATTACGGTAATGCAGTTTATGACAATTCAATGCAATTCAATTTAACTGGCAACAGTAAGAATATAAATAAAAAAGTAAACAATTCAAATCTTATAATTCACAAAATAATTCAATAAAATAATTCAATAAAAAAATAATAATAATATAAAAAAAAATATTGTGTCCAAGATTGGACATGCCGCCGGCCTTGCCCTTAGGCAACAGATGGCCCCTTGTTGGTGGAGCAGAGTACTTCTGCTAAGGATTTAATGGCTTCGATGATTATATTTTGATTTATGTTGGCGGAAGTTGTTGGTTGAGTTGTTTGTGGGTCTGGTGTTTGAGCGGTTGATGTGTTTGGTGGTTGATTCTGTTGAGGTCTTTGAATCGTTGATAGTAGGGTGCGTCTGTGCGGCTTGGGCCGTTGATGACGTTGCTGGCTCGTTTGGTTGCCGACGGTAATACGAAGCTTTGGTGGGTGTAACATCGTATGATGAAACCGGTGGCATCTGCGGCAGCTTGCCATTGAGGTACAGTCCCGAACAATATGGCTTTTGGCCAAACAGTTGACACAGTATTTGTGTCTAGTTACCACCTCAATCCTCCGGATGACTGTCATGTTCAGGAATTTTGGGCAAAACCGTATGGCATGGAACCTCATACAAAGTTTGCACTGGTACAATGCCGGATCCCTTCGGGTGTTGTGCTGGGTAGTGTGGTGACGGCTTCGCTGCCTATTGTGGCCTTCACTTTGCCGTGAGGTTACGCCTCTGTGGTGATGACTGCTGCTTTGGCTGCGACGTTCTCCTGACCAAGTGGTGGTGCTGTGGTAGTCGTCATTATTGGGGGCTTCTCTTGGCCGAGTGGTAGTGCTGCTGTCTTCGCTTGGCCGTGTAGCGGTAAGTCTTCGGTTGGTTCTAGGAGGAAAAAAAGTGTAAGTAACTGATAAAACAAATTAAGGTGGATTAGTGCTGGGAAAATTAGGGATTGTTAAGTGTGTAAGTGTAATAATGAGAAGTGTTAAATGAGAGATTAGTGTGAAAGGAGTTAGAGTAATTAAAATATATAAAAAGATATTGCTACAGGAGATATTATTTATGATATTATTTATATTGGATTAGAATTTTAATCTAAGTTAAAATTCTAATCATGATTTTCGCTTAAAAATGGTAGGTAACATAATTTGACGATGGGCCGAGTAATGATTCCTGAGCTTATTCTTACTTCGGCAATGCGTACATTATTATCTGAACCAAAGTAAGTTTTTTCGATTCTTCCTAGACGCCATTCGTAAGGCGGCTGAAGATCGTCCATTACAACGACGAGATCTCCGATTTTAAGATTTGTAGTAGAGTTTTTCCACTTATAGCGTTTGTGTAAAGTTTTAAGATAATCATTTTTCCAGCGTATTGAGAATTGATGATGCATAGCTTTTAATTTTTCCCACCTATTAATAAGAGATATATTTTGATAATCTTGTTCTGGGAGAGCCATTATCGGGACTCCTCTTAGGAAATGTCCTGGGGTTAGAGCAGTTAGATCTGAAGGGTCTTCAGATAAAGCTGAGATTGGGCGAGAGTTTAGTACGCCTTCAATTCGAGTTATAATTGTTGAGAATTCTTCAAATGTGAATTTTTGAGCACCAGTAATTCGTTTTAAATGAAATTTGAAACTTTTTACGGCGGCTTCCCATAAGCCGCCCATATGAGGAGCGTGTGGGGGAATAAATTTCCACTCAAAGCCGTGTGTCAAGTACTTTTGAGCTATATCTTGAGATGCGTTTTTTATAAAAGAGGAAAATTCTCGTAAAAGTTCTCTACTAGCCCCTACAAAGTTTCTACCGTTATCAGATACTACCCTTTGGGGTAGTCCTCGCCTCCCAACGAAACGAGAAAATGCAGCTTGAAATGCCGCTGAAGACAGATCAGAGCATACTTCTAAGTGAACAGCTTTCGTACTAAAGCAAACGAATACGCTTACGTACCCTTTGACAAAAGTAGATTTTCGTAAAGCTGACGCTTTGAGCTCAAAAGGCCCAGCAAAGTCAATGCCTGTTATTTGAAAAGGTAGCGACAAATTACATCTGGTAGGGGGTAGAGGAGCCATTATTTGAGAACAGGGTTGCTGTTTGTAAATTATACAAGTTTTACAGTTTCGTATTATATTTTTTACACGAGGCTTGAGTCTGAATACATAAAATTCAGTTTGTACCATTCGGCACATTTGACCACATTCGGCATGGGATAAGAATTCGTGTAAATATTTGAGATAAAGTTTACAAAAATGTGAATTACCGGGTAAAATTATAGGATAGCGTTCGCTATAGGGAAGTGATGATTGCGATAATCTTCCATTTACTCGTAAAATTGAGTTCGAGTCTATAAATGGATTAAGGGATTTTAGCGAACTTTTATTGGGTAATGCTTGAGATTTTAAGCAACATTCGTATTCTTCGAAATAGAATGTTTTTTGAGCGAGTATAATTAGTTTATTTTTTGAAAATTTCATTTCATCTTGAGTTAAAGATAATTGAGTAGCGGAATTAACTTTTTTACATTTGTTAATAAATCGAAAAACATAGCACATAATACGTAAGGCTTTGCTATACGACGAAAATCTTTCAAGACTATCTGTTTGTTGAGTTTCTGAATGCATTGATACTATTTTCTTTGGACATTCAGGGTTTTTTAAAGGATTTCTGTTAGGCCACTCAGACGATGGTTTAGTTAGCCATGATGGTCCATGCCACCAAAGTGAATTGTGAACAAGGTCTTGAGGTTTACAACCTCGAGTTCCCAAGTCTGCTGGATTATCATGCGTTGGGACATGTTTCCATATGGCGTTTGGCGTTAAACGATGAATTTCTGCAATACGATTTGCAACATATGTTTCCCACGTAGATGGGTGTTTAGAGAGCCAACCTAACACAATGGATGAATCAGTCCAAAGAAAGATTTCTTTAGTATTAAAATTTAATGAAGAAATAACGTAATTTACTAATTTTGATAGCAAAACTGCACCATTTAGTTCCAGTCTTGGAAGACAAACAGTTTGAATTGGTGCCACTTTACTTTTAGCTACAAGTAAATTTACAAAAGTGTTATAAGTTTTCGTTTTACATCGAATAAACACTGTAGCGCAATATGCTGTTTTAGACGCGTCTGAGAATCCGTGGATTTGAATATCGTCAGATGGCGTATACTGTAACCAGCGTGGAATGGAAATTGTTTTGATTTGAGATAAATCTCTGACTAGATTATTCCACTTTTGAAGAGATTCAGATGAAACATCTTCATCCCATTCCAAGCCTTCTAACCACAGCTGCTGCATCAGCATTTTTGCTCTGATGACGATGGGTGCAAGCCATCCAGCTGGATCAAAAAGTTTTGCAACTGACGATAAAATTTGACGTTTTGTTATTCTTTGAGATTCATCAATGGGTGAAAAACTATAAGAAAATGTATCAGTTATTGCATTCCACTTGATGCCAAGTGTTTTAGTAGAACTTGCTTCGTGAAATCGTAAGAAGTCCAAATCATAAAGATCTTCTTTGGGTAAATGAGCAAGTAATTGCGGGTTATTAGCAGTAATTTTCTTTAATGGGAAACCTGCTGAGTTTAATGTTTCAATAAGTTGAGTTTGAGCAGAAAGAGTTTCTTCAATTGAATAACCTCCTGAGAGAATGTCATCGACATAAGTTTCTGAGCGCAGAATTGATGCTGCTTTTGGGTGTGCAGGTTCGGAATCTGTTGCGAGTTGAAGAAGTGTCCGAATCGCGAGATAGGGAGCACAATTTATGCCAAAAGTGACGGTTTTGAGCTGATAATCTTTAACTGATTCATCTGACTCAGTTTGAAATAAAATTCTTTGAAAAGATCTATCAGCAGGGTGCACAAGTATTTGGCGATACATTTTTTGTATGTCGCCACTAAATACATATTGGTATTTTCTCCAATTGAGGATAATCGTAATTAAATCATTTTGTAGAGTGGGACCTGTGTATAACACATCATTGAGCGAGAATTTAGATTTTGATTTTCTTGATGCGTTAAATACGACTCTTAATTTGGTCGTTTTGTGTTCTGGGCGAACAACTGCGTGGTGCGGTAAGTAAAAAGAATAATATTTATCTTGGGATACAATTTCACTTGAAGAAGTTTCTTCCATGTGATCTAGAGTTATATAATCGTTCAGAACTGATTTATATTGAGCTTCAAGTTCTGGATCTTTTGCGAGTGTTTTCTCCATTCTGGAGTATTGAGCTAATGCAATATATCGGGATGAGCCAAGGGAAACTTTGTCGGGAAATTCTGATCTGAATGGTAGTCGAACGACGTATCTACCATTCTCATGTCGAGTTGTAGTTTGGGTATAAAACTTTTCACAAATTTCATGTTCAACGGTGTTTGGATGAGAAGTAGGAATTTCTTCCTGTTCCCAAAACATTTTCAAAGTATTATTTAAATCTGAAGTTTCACATTGTGTGACCGAAGTGGTAAAAGTTTGAATAGTTTGGGTTTTAATGGGACCACTAAGAACCCAACCAAAAACAGTGTGATAAGCTGAAGTTTGACCACATACATTCTTTTTAATACCTTCTAAATTAAGAAATTGTTCATAATCATTTCCTATAATGAGATTAATTTGAGCAGATTTATTGAAAGTTGGATCCGCTAGATCCAATTCTGAAAGCTCAGGCGAGTCAGGCATTTCAAAAGAATATGTTGGAAGCCATTTAGTGACTTTGGGCATTACTATAGCTTTAACTGGAATTCTTAAATTGTATCTTTTTGCATATAATACGAATTCACATTCTTTGTTAGCTATTTGTTTTTGGCCGCCAATACCAATAATTTCAAAATGAGAATTTTGATAAGGTAATTGAAGGCGATTTCGCACTTTTTCGGTTAAAAATGTTCGTTGAGAACCAGGGTCTATTAGAGCCCTAACAGTAAAAAGTTGACCTTGATGATCAATTTGTACTAATGCAGTATGCAACAGAATATTTTCATTATTCATTGAACAATTAGCTTGAATTTGATTTGAGCATGCTGGGAAATCATTTTGAGCTATAATTTGTTCAGTTTGGGCAGAATTCGACAAAGTTTTATGAGTTATATTTTTATTTTCTTTTGGCTCTTGATTTTTTTGCGAGTGTTCTGGGATTTGAGCGGGATTTTGTAACTTTGGTCTCATATGAAGCAAAGTATGATGATTTTTTTTACAATGGAGACAAGTTTTTTTACTTTTGCAATTTAGTTTAAAATGAGATGAACTCAAACAATTGTTGCAAATTTTATTTTTAAAAACGTAATCCACTCTTTGTTGTACCGTAAAGGTTCTAAATTTGGGACATGTTCTCAGTGAGTGAATTTCGTTACAGAGTTTACATTCGGGTTCATAGAGATTTTCATGAGATGTATAAGTTTGTATTTTGGATTCAGGTGCATTTGTTAAAGTAAAACAACTTTTTGAAATTTTTATGCTATTAATGCGTTCTACTGCTTCATATCTGTCAACAAGGAATTGTGACATTTGAGACCACTTGGGAAGTTCTCGAGGGGAAGTTAAAGACTGTTCCCAAAGCGAAAGAGTAAAATCTGGCAATTTTGTTGAAATTAGGCGAATTAAAATAGGGTCCCAACTTTCAACTTCTACCCCGAGAGTTCTTAAAGTTGCTAGCGAATCATTAACTGAAGATTGTATTCTTCTAATTGATTCGCTGTTTTCAGCGGTTGCTGGCGGAATATTAAAAAGGAGTTTTATTTGGTTATCAACCAGAACACGTTTGTTTTCATAGCGGGTTTTCAAAGCATTCCACGCTAATTCAAAATTTTCATGAGATAAGGGATATCTCTTTACAATGTCACCAGCTTCCCCTCGTGTTTTATTTCGAAGGTGGTATAATTTTGTGACAGGAGAGAGTTTTGAGTGATTTATATATACGGCCGTGAACATGTCACGAAACGATGGCCATTGTTCGTAACTGCCTTTAAATATTTCTGTATCGCAAGGGGGAAGTTTTATACAGTTACTTGAGTTATCTGGCGCAAAATTTTGAGTGAGTGGTTGGTTTGGGATTGAGTATCGGGCTGCTGCCTCGAACCCTGCTACATTAGAACTATCTAGTCTAGTAGCTTTTATTAAATCAAGAATTTGAGATGTGCATAAGTAATATGCGTCTACACACGCATTAAAATTAGTTTTCGCTTCTTCTTTAAATTCGGGTTTTATAGAGTTATCAGAAGCTAACATGACTCCTTCATAAGAAGCTTCGACTTTAACCCATCTTGCGTCCTAATCTTTTAATTTTACTTCAAGAACAGATTCAGATTGTTCTTCAATAGGCGTTCTATTGAATCGGTCACAAAATTGGAGAAGATGGTCGCAGTCGAATACAAAGCGCTCTTTTGGAGCTGAAGTAGACTTTGTATTTGATGTAGAAGTCATATTGAAATGAGTTTAATATAGATTTAAGCTTATTTTAGCTTTAAAGCGTAGTGATTGAAATTTAATTTCTTTGTAATAGCGGTAAATTAGGGTATAAGCTGTTAAAAGCTGAGTTATGAAACGAGAATAAAAATTTTCTTCAAAATTTTATTCTTTTTCGTAAAAGCGGATATAATAAAAGTGGATAATTGCAACTTTTTGTGAAAATGTTTTTATTAAAGGAGCTGGTATTTGGTGAAAGCGGATAAAATATAAAGTAAACCAAACGAGAATTAGGTATTTATTAAAATTTTTTATCGTTCTTCTTTATTCACTTTACTGAGAAGCGGTTATTAAAATAGTAATATGAACATAAAGAAGTAGTATCGATAGCGGCGAATTGAAATTTAATTTCAAATTTTAATAACTTTTCTTTATTCACTTTACTGAAAAGGCGGTTATTTAATAAAATAGTAATATGAACATAAAGAAAAAGTTATAATTTAAAATTTAACTTAATCAATTATTCGTATTTCTTTATACTCTGGGTAAAGGGGCTATAGCGTTATAGCACTAGATACCAATTATCTAGTTAAAAATTGAGTATACGAATAGAATAATTTACGAAGTGATAAAAAATTTAAAAAAAAATTGTAATTTTGGGCAAAATTGTTCAATTTTTATTATTCTCGGTGGTTTGTTTATATGCGATTATTAGAGAAAAACTAGAGCTGATATCTAGTTAAAGGTGAATCAAATCGCGGAAATAAAAAACTAAATTTAGAGCAAATTAGTTTTTATAATTTTCAACCAAATTTATTTTTCGATTATTAAAGAAGGGCTATAACTAGAGCTGATATCTAGTTAAAATGGTAAATAAAATCGCGGAATAAAATTTAAATTTAGAGCCAAAAAATCCTATAACTAGAGCTGATATCTAGTTAAAAAGGGTAATTCAAATCGCGGAAATCAAAAAAAAATTAAAATTTTAGAGCAAATTAAGTTTTTGTATTTCAAACAAAGTTATTTGTGTTTCGATATTCTCTTTATGTTTAATGGAGCTATTGATTTATAGCACTAGATAAGTTATATCTAGTTAATTTCTTAGCAGTCGTTGAGAATAATCGAAACAAATTTCAAGAAAAAGAGTTTTCACACAAATTAAAAAAAAAAAATTATTCGATATTCTTTTATTCTCTTTATCCTTGTATTTATCAGAACTAGATAACTAGTTAAAATTGAGCATTATTTGAGAATAAAGATATTCGAATTGAGCTGTAAACAAAATTTAAATATTAAGATATAGAGATGGGATATGTATAATATAGTATAATTTTAAAATTGTAAAATTTTTCAAATTTTATAAATGTGCACGTTTAAAAGTGTATTCGCTTGTAAATTGTTACTATGTGCTATTGCGCTTTATATAGGGGATTTAATTTTTCAAAAAACGTTAAATAAATAGTAAGGTATAATTGAATTGAAATTATTTAAATTTATTTAAATCAGTAAAAAAAATTACTAATTGCGTTAAAAAATTTTGTAAAAATTAAAATGAAATTTATTTCATTAAAAAATTATTTTGTTTATAATTTTTCCCGATAAATTAAAAAAGCACTATGGTAACACTTGATTGTGTCGGATTACTAAAAAAGCACGATGGTAACCCTTATTGAGAATGAGCGAGAATGTATATGAAAAAAATATAAGTGATGACAACACGACCACTATTAAGCGATTTTTTTTTTTTTTTCGAATACACTTTTACACTTGCACTTTTTATTTAATATTTTTGGATTGAGTAATTATTTTGATTTAGTAAAATATTTTGATTTGGGATAATTTAATGAGATTAAAATAATAACAAATTTATTTTTCTGCTTTTAGTAATTTTGGAAAAATTTTATTTAAATTTATTATTTTTTATTTTAAGTTTTGTTTTTTAGCGAGTAGTGAACTTTTTTAAATAATAACTTTGTGTTGTTAATATTGTTTTTATTTTTATTGTTCTTTATTTAAGTTGTTGTTGCTTATAATTCTTTGCAGTGGACTGTATGTAATTTTATTTCAGTTTAAGCAACAACAAAAATATTTAAATGATGAGAACAACACAAAGTATTCTTATTTATTTTACACTCGAGAAAAATATCAGCACAAGTTTTCACAATTTTTAATTTTAATAAAAATTTCACTGTGATTGAATTTTTCTTTAAGTATCACTTGAGTAAATAAAGTAATTTATTTGAGAAAATAAATTACTTTTATTTAAGCAGAAAAATAAATTTATTTTATTATTGCACTTTAATATTTTTTTTCTTCGTAATATTTTCTTTTAATTATTAGGAGCACACTTAATTTTTTTTTTGTGTAATATTTTTCGTTTTAATTTATTTTCTTTTATGTGAGAAACACTTGCATAAAAAACCATACAACAAATATATTTTCAATTTTGCTTTATTCTCGTTTGTTTATTTCTTTTGGACAAATATTATTACACAAACAATTTAACGGGATAATTACATGAGATTTGTAATAGGTATGGATTAGTAATATGTATATATGCAAACATGTATTGGGTAGGGGAAAAATTTATTTGCGGTAATTATGTGCACTTATATATAATTTTTTTTTAATTTAATTTTTATTAAAAAAAATTAAAATAAAATACCGATTTTACTTATTTAAAAAAATATGGCGTCACAATTTTTTCTCAATATGGCGTTATTTATTAAACTTTTTTTTTTTGGTATATAAGAAAAACCGCAAATTTTTATTTATTTCAAATAAATATGGCGACACAAGTTTTTATACAACAAAATTGCGCTTTTTTATTATATAGGGCACCGCTATTTTTATGTAAAATTATGCTCTTTAAAATATATAGGAACCGCTAATTTTTTATGTACACTTTATGTAAAATTATGCGCTTTTTATTCAAAAAATTTTAAATATGTATATAAGGAACCGCTATATTATATGTAAAAATTTGCGCTTTTTATTCTTTATTTTAAATATATAGAACCCGTAATTTTTTATATGGCGACACGAAATTTTTTTTTTTTGCACTTTTTAAGAAACAAATTTTTTCACTTTGCTAACACATTTATTTGTAACACATTTACATATATACATAAATATATTTTTTTTTATAGGGATTTTTTTGCAATTTTTGGCACTTTTATGTATTTATTCTTTTAGAGATTTTCTTTTTTTTCTTTTTTTTTTAATATTTGTTGTATGTTTTTTGTCACTTTTTTTGAGAGATTTATGTATTTTTTGCTTTTAATTTTTATTTCAAGAGCGAGATTTTAGGGGTTGTTTTTGAATTTTAAATATTCTTTTTTCTTGCACTTTAATATAGAGAGATATATGATGTTTTTTTATGTGATTTTTTGATGAGTGTATGTATGTGTGTGTGCGCGAGTGGGATTTTTTGAAAAAAATGAGATTTTTACTTACTTTTTGTCCGGCTTTTTAAAACTGATGAGCATGTAATTTACCTCATTCTTGCGGTGATCTTTGTAGGAAAATTTGTTGGTATTTTGCTGGTTATTTTTCAATATACTGAGAGGCTCGATTGGACCATGAAATAACTTGAGCAAACTTCTATAGATTGGAAGAGCGGGGGGAAAACAAGTGGATCAATCTAAAAGAAGTTTGAATTAATTATAATTACTCTCGTCCGAGTAATTATAATTATATGCGTGCCGTAAAAAAAAGAAAAGAGAAATAAGCGGGGATTAATAAAATATTTCTTTTCCTTTTAATAAGAGAGTAAGGGTTTTGGGGAATGAGGAAACTCACCTTTTGTTCTGCCGGGCCAAATCAAAGTAAATGAAGTGGAGTTGGTTTTTTTTTGTATTTTATTTTATTTTATTTTGTTCACAGCACTGAGAGATTAAAGAGCGGGAGAGATATTTTAATGTTTTCACAACGACTGATGAATTACAAGTGAAGTTTTATTTTCGCGATTACAATAAAGGAAGCTTAAGATTTATACAAAATGGCAATTCAGCTAATAATTACAACAATTTGACAATTCATTTTTCGTACTAAAAAGGGTTTACTTAACAATGATATATTTATAATATTACGGTAATGCAGTTTATGACAATTCAATGCAATTCAATTTAACTGGCAACAGTAAGAATATAAATAAAAAAGTAAACAATTCAAATCTTATAATTCACAAAATAATTCAATAAAATAATTCAATAAAAAAATAATAATAATATAAAAAAAAATATTGTGTCCAAGATTGGACATAAATTTAATATATAATAAACATAAGTGAGAGATTAGTGAGTGTTCACATCAGTGAACACATAACACTGTCCATCCCTGACGTCATTTAATACCCACACATAACTGCAGCCAACTTCATCTACATATGAACGTCAGCTGAAGTTTTGGCTTTCATCTTTAACTTACTTCTATTCTAATCCACCTGTGAGAAGAACAAAAAGTGTGTGCGCTAAACGAACCAACAAACAAAACAACAAACCCTACAACAGCGAATTAAAAGTTTGTAAATAAATAAATAAATTATAAACTTAACCCTAAATAAAAACTAGTGATAAAACTTATAATTAGTGATAAACCCTAAAACTAAAAATAAATACTAAATCTAGTGGAAATCTTAATTTTCTTAATTTATATCACAGTTTGTATATCACAGTTAAACCAATTAAAATTTATATCTAAAACTTATATCTATTGTTAAAGGAATTAAATGATTGTGAAAACCCTAAACCAATATTAAAACATTAAAACCCTAAAACCTTTAAAAATACTTACAACTAAAATAAAATCTGAATTTATAACCTAAAAATACTTACCCTATATACTTACCTTATATACTTACCCAAAAGATCAATAAACACATAAGTATTATAACGTTTTATGAAAATATCCCAAGCCTTTCTTATTTACCCTTCCTCCTAATTCCCGCGTAAGTACCCATCTACCCATCTCCCTCTAACCCCTAAATAAACATTGGTCCAAACGAGCCTTTAAAAAAGAAACGGCTACATACATAAATTACAGTCCACAAAAAGAAAGCTGAAAATAAAAGTAAGCTTAAAAATAAAAAGTGTGAAGAAAGTGAAAAGTGTTGAAAGTAAGCAAAAGCAAGTGTATGTAAAAAAAAAATAATAAAAAACCCACCCTTAAAAATAAAACTAAAAATAAAAAAAAAAAAAAAAAGAGAATAAACAATTAAAAATACCCTACAAACTAAAACATAAATAATATAAACTAAATTAAAAATAAAATTGTGTAAAAAATTACAATTGTAAAAAAAAACAAAACAAAAAGTGTACAAATTGTAACAAAAAACAGACAAAAAGCTTAAAACAAATAAATTGTGTAAAATAAACAACAAAGTGCACAAAGTAAAAAACAAAATATTTGTTACAAAAGACAACAAAAAATGTTCAACAAATAAAACTGAAACAAATTTAAAATAAACAGAAAACACAACAAATCAAAATTCTCAACATAAAAACAGTGAAAAGATAAAAAATACATTACAAATAAAAACAAATATTTTTAACAAGAACATACATCAAAAAAAAAAAAAATAAATAAATACAGTGAAACACAAAATATTAATCTAAAAAGAAAAAAAAATTACCCACATACCCCAATACCTATTTGTTAAAAAAAAAATAAATAAATAAACATATAAAAACTACAAAAACAGAAATTATTAATACATAATTATTTAACAAATTAACAAAAATTTAAAAAAAAATATATACACACAAATTCATTAAAACAAAAATAAATAACAACTACACATATTGAAAATAATACAAAACTTACAAAAGAAAAACACACACTGTACATATTTTTGAAAATAGTAAAAAAACATTAATACACAAAAATAAACAAGAAATAAAACACACACAAAACATATACACACGCTTAAACATACATACCAGACCCAGCTTACATATTACAACAGCCACACTACACACAAGATCAACACACATCATAGCGGGAAGAAGGTGTAAAGAAGAATCGACAACACAAGAGATTTTTTTTGGTTTATCTCTTGTGAAGGTTTGTACCCTACCCCCAGCAAACAAGGTAAGTGTATTTTTTACAACTTACTAATAAAATTTAAATTTCCATTATTTTGTATTATATTAGTTTTATTTGTCAAGCAATATAATATAAAAATATTTTCTATTCAAAACCCACTCACCCACCCACCCTATTAAAAGCTTTTTTGGAAATATTTTTATATATTGCTTGATTAAGCTAATATTACCACCCGAATTGTGTAGCATACCCATACACACATAAAATACCCTGTCGGAAATTTAAGTTTGCTGTTACAAATTTTTTGTAGATTTTTAAATTAAATTAACCCAATATGTCCGATTTAAAATCTTTGGCCGCCACTTTAATGCGATATATCCAAATGGATTTGGAGTCTTTTGAGGAAGATTATCGCTCCTCTCCGGAAAGTTTTCAATCGCTACCCGCACTCAAATTCAAAAAACGTGAATTAAGTGATTTATGGTCTAAAATTGACCATAAATTCACTCAAATTAGAGAATCCGCAGATTTACTCGATCCAAAGAAGGCTGAAACAATCAATTTAACGGAAGTTGTGCATCATTTTAGATCTGCCAGAAATTTTTATAGAACTAGTATGATCTCAATAGATGAATCTATTGAAGAGATTACTAAGGCCAATGATACCCGAGCCTCATTACCCGAACCCTCACAACCCAACAATTCCGTAGCCTTCAATGTACCTCCATGCGATATGCCTACATTTAATGGAGATTTTAAATCTTGGCTTCTTTCCGGGATCTTTTTAAAGCCATATATGGTAACAACACACGCTTAAGTGGAGTTGAAAAACTCTTCTATCTTAAGCAAAAAACAAGCGGCGAAGCCAAAGAAATCGTTGACAACGCACCCCTAACTAATGATGGCTTTCTCATTGCGTGGACCCAACTCGTCTCTCAATTTGAAAATAGACGAATGCAAATCAATGCGCAATTGAAAACACTTTTTAATTTACCCACAGTAAGCACCATGTGCAGTGCTTCTATAAGAAAGCTTCAGAGAAAGATTAATTGTTGTATTGCTAATTTAAATTCATTAGAAATTGATACGGATAATTGGGATCCTATCTTTGTATATCTTTGCTTATCAAAATTACCCAAAGAAACCCGAAGAGAGTTTGAGAAAACTCTCAATGATAGCGCTGAAATGCCGCAATGGACGAATCTTGATGTGTTCTTAACGAACACTTTTAAGGAACTTACATCAGTAAACGATGTTCCAGATTCGAATCCTAATACCCACCCTAACAACCACCCTAAAACCAAACAATTTACTGAAACAAAATATAACCCTGACAGAAGAGCCAAAGCGTTTCACAATGTAACCCATTCTTCAAAGAAACCCCACCCAAACCCCAAACCTCAAAATGAACAAAAATTCTCTAACCCAAACCATATACCCAATTCAAATACCCAAAAGAATGCAAATGCCCAAAATACCCAAAAGAAACCAAATACCCAAAACACCCAAACTAAACTCTATGGGTCCATTTGCAAACTTTGTGAAAAGAATCACACCCTAAGAGAATGTTCTTCATTTAATTCTTTAGGATTAAACCAAAGAATTGAATTTGTAAATGAGAATGGAATTTGTTACAATTGTTTAGCTACTGGACATGTCATAAAAGATTGTTATAGCGCATTTAAGTGTAGATATTGCGGCGGTAAACATAATTCGCTTTTACACAAGCCGAACTCTAACCCTAACCCACATGTTGAAAATACTCAGGCGTCAACATCACAAAACGCAGTACAGTCTTTCTCAACCCACACCCAATCAAGCAAACCCATACCCATAGATGACAGAACAAAGTTATTAGGAACTGCAGTTCTGAATGTTGAAGTTCAAGGTGAATTATTTCCAGCTAGAGCGCTTATTGACCCAGCTTCAGACTTCTCGTTTATCACAGATAAACTGAGAAGGAAGCTAAAATTACCCACTACACCCATAGTTGCTGAAATATCAGGATTGAATGAAATAGTTTCAGCTCGTTCGAACAAATTATGTCAAGTTTTATTGCGCTCTAACACACAAAATGAATTTAAATTGAATATCCAAGCAATTGTTGTTAAAACATTAACCAAAAACTTACCCACCCAAAATTTAAACCCCACCCTAATACAAGACTTGGAAAATATTCAATTGGCTGACCAAAAATTCTACGAAAGTCGACCTATAGACTTTATTATTGGCAGCGATTTTTACCCACAGATTTTAAAATCTGGAGTCAGAAAAGACTTACTCAATACCCTTATAGCTCAGGAGACTGAGTTTGGCTGGATTTTAACAGGACCCGTTCAGAATTCGCAAAATAACCAACCCTTAGTTTCATACTTCAGTTCAGTCACGCTTGATAAAGTTTTGACCAAGTTCTGGGAAATTGAAGATGTACCCACCCAACCCAAAGTTTCAGAAGAAAGTTCTTTATGTGAAGAAACTTTCAAGACCACTACCCTTCGATTACCAAATGGCCGTTATCAGGTAAATTTACCATTTATATACCCTACTGTCGAGTTAGGAAACTCTAGACACGTTGCTATGGCTCAATTTCTACGTAACGAGAAAAGTTTGATGAAAAAGCCAGAGCTTAAAATGGAATATGATAACGTGCTACAAGAGTATATCGATTTAGGTCATATGAAACTAATTAATTATAACCCAAACACTCCTTCAAACACCCATTATTATTTACCCCATCACGCTGTTGTTAAACTTGATCGTGTTACGACAAAAGTTCGAGTTGTATTTAATGCATCTAGCAAAACCTCGAACAGCAACAGTCTTAATGATACCCTACACACTGGTCCTACCCTACAACAAGATTTAGTTGTACTTATCTTGAAATGGCGCTTTTACAAGATAGTTTATAATGCCGACATTACAAAAATGTACCGGCAAATTATGCTAAACCCTACCCACACACCCTTCCAACGGATATTATTCCGTAAAAGCGTCAACGAACCCATTCAAGATTATGAACTGCAAACAGTTACATTTGGTGTTAACTGTGCACCATATTTGGCTATTAGAACCCTACACAAATTAGCCGATGACATTCAAAATACCCACCCTATAGCTTCGCAAATATTGCGAAACAACATGTATGTTGATGATGTCTTAGCC